CACGATGGAATACTACGCAGCCATAAAAAAAAAAATAAAAAAATAAAAAAAAAAAATAAAAAAAAAAAGAACAAAATCATGAATTTTGCAGCAACCTGGATGGAACTAGAGTCTATAATACTGAGTGACCTCACACAGAAACAAAGATCAAAATATCACATGTTCTCACTCATATAATGGACCTTGAACATCCAATGTAATACTATAACAAAATGACTGACGGTACTGGGAAACTATGGGGGGGAGGGGGAGGGGATTAACAGTAGCAAATATCTGTCTGGGGCTGGGAAAACACATCTTATCAACAGGGTGTCTGAATGAAACGTAATTGTACACCTAACCCTTAACTGTACCCCACAAAACTATAATAAAAATACTGATTAATTATTAAAAAAATAAATAAATAAATAAATAAATAAATAATGTGATATATATGTATGCATATGTATTTGCTTAATGATTCATGGTTTAAGTTGAGAAACCCATGATGATTGGCAACCACACAGAGAATTGTAGGGCTTTCACTTCTTGTTTTGTCAACTTTAAGCATAAAGCAATGAGGTATAGTGTAAAGGGAGTTTCCCTGAGTGGGTTGGAGGCTCAGGCTTGGGCCTTACCACTTACTTACTCTGTGGCCTCTTTTTTGACAATAAATTTACTTAATTAAACTTCAGGTCTTGCATCAGCAAAATGGGAAAATTAATTATTGATTTGCTAACTCACCTGGCTAATAAGACAAGCAAATATGGTTATAATTGTGTGCATATGTTCCAAGTTGTAAGGTATTACACAAATTTAAGACATTCTAATTGGTACTAACTTCTCTTTACTTCATGCTTCATCTCTTTCATTCAGAGAATTTTAAAAGCTGCAAAAAGCCAGTTCTAGACTTGATCTTCCTCTTCCTTCCCCTTCTGCTTGTATATATGCCATTTCTTTCCCTTCTTGACCACTTCACCTGCAATTTCTAGAATTCCCATCTGGGAGAAGGGACTGTCAAACTGAGGAGGCCAATGTCAGTCTTGTATTTAGGAAACACTCCAGGCTTATATTGATCTTCCTTCTTAGAGTATTTGTTTCCTTCTTAGAGTATTTGTTTGGAAGAGCACACGTAAATTGAGAGACGAGATAGCTAGAGAAAAGCTAGGCAGACAGACAGGGTAACAATGTAGCAAACTTCCACCAGCCCTCTCTGACTGATACACTCGGTAAACAAGCTTCCAGCTAGGCCCCACAGGCTAGAGAAAGAAAACACTTACTGACAGGATTGAAAAACAACCAATCAGCTCACTGCTAAGTACCAATCATTCATTTCACTATTAGGCCCTACCTCCCAGCCAATTGGTTCTTAGTACTGACCAGTCAGCACAGCTAGTGCCAACCAATCAGTTCACAGCTAGTGCTAGCCAATCAGCTCAGCCTTAGGGCTATTTAGCACTAGGTTTTTAATTGGCAACCCTTGGTCACCTCCTGCTCTGAGAACTTTTCTGTCTTTTCAGTAAATCCTGGTTTCCTATCTTCCAGCTGTCCATGTACCTCATTCCTCCTGGGCACCAGGCAAGAACCCAGACCTGAAGACCTGAAGAGATGCAGAAAATTGTTGGAGCAGAAGAGCTGTGCACCCCAAAGGCTGGCTTGCCAGTAGACAGAGCCTGTTGAACCAGCTGAACCAGCAGAGCTGCCAGCAGAAGGCAAGACACGGAAGCTGAGATGCTGCTGGGAAGTGGCAAGCCAGCCTACTAAATCAGCAACACTCTCAGGTCTTGACTTGCTTGTCCATTAGAGTCAACACTCCTGAGGCTTGGCTTGTCAGCACATGAGAACCAACACTCTGGGGTCAGGTTTGCTGACCCATTGAGATATCACTCTTGCAGGCCAACTAACCAGGGAAAAATCCACATCACATGCATAATGCATTCTCAGATATGAAGACAAGCACACTCACAAACAGTATGGATATACACAAAGTCACACGCTTTCAAAATACCCAGAAACTAATGTGTACATTTTTGTATAATCCATCTTGTAACTTCCCTTATCTGTGGTTGCAAGATCCAAGAATTCAGTTTTTAACAGTCAATCATAGTCTGAAAACAGGTGAATAAAGTACAATAAGATATTTTGAAAGAGAGGCCACCTTCTCATAGATTTTAATACAATGTATTGTTATAATTGTTTCATTTTATTTTAAGTTACTGTTAATCTCTTACTATTCCTAGTTTATAAAATAAAATTTTCATATGAATTTATGAAAACATAGCACATAAAGTGCTTGGAACTATCTGGAGTTTCAGACATCCACTAGGGTCTTAGAATTTATACCTTCAAGGATAAGGAGATACTACAGTACAAACACAAGAGTAAAGAACCTACCTCAAGCAGCCATAGACATGCATGTCAAATGTACATATTCTTCGAGAAGTACAATCACACTCTCTTTTATACTGATATGACCACCCAAACACACTTTCCCAATTATACACAAACACTGACAAAAACACAATGGGACATGTGCACAAATACATATATTCACTTTCACTTGTACATGAGACAGAAACACATCCAGTCATGTTCAGCTACTCCAGACATGTTCAAACCAAACACCCTCTGAACCACTCCATTGCAAACACACCCCTGAGTGTGGTCATGTTTTCAGTTTTGATAACTGAATTTTATTTTCCTTTTAACAGCTTCATTGAGTGTAATTGATATATAAAAACTGCACCTATTTAATGTACTCAATATGATCATTTGGACATATATGCATATACCTGTGAAACCATGACCACAATCAAGGTAATAACTATATTCATCACCTTCAAAAGTTCTCTTGTGTTCTTTTGTAGTTGTTTTAGATTGTTTTCTTGTGTGTGCTTGGTAAGAACACAGCACAACATCTTAACAAATTTTTAAGTGCACTACAAAATACTGTTCATTATAGGAATTATACTGTACAGCTGCTCTTCAGAACTAATTTATCTCGCATAACTACAAATTTATACCAATTGAACAACTCTGTTTCTCCATATCTCTTCCTTCCTGATCCCTAGAAACTACTATTCCATTCCCCGCTTCTATGATTTTGACTACTTCAATACCTCCTATAGATGAAAGTAGGCAGTATTGTCTTTCTGTTATTGGCTTATTTTATTTAGCATAATGGCCTCTAGGTTTATTCACATTGTCTCAAATGGCAGTATTCCCTGCTTTTTAGACTGAATATGCCATTGTATGTACATAGCACAGTTTCTTTATCTATTTATTTTTCAATGAACATTGAGTTATTTCCATAACTTATCTATTGTGAATAGTGTTGCAATGAACATGAAAATATTTTCTTGAAATTCTAATTTCAATTATTTGGGACTTATATCTAGAAGTGAGCTTGTTAGATCACATAGTAATTATATTTTTCATTTTTGAAGAACTTTCATATTGTTTTTCATAATGGTTACATCATTTTACATTCCCACCAACAATATAAAAGGATTCTAATTTATCTACATCCTTGGCAGCATTTACCTTCTATCTTTTATTTAGTAGTCATTCTAACTGGTATGAGGCAATATCTTATTGTGGTTTTGATTTTCATTTCCCTGATGATGTTCTCATTGTTATTTCCCTGAATGCACTATTTCTGGGGAAGGTAGATGAATATACGTCTCTGGGAACTCCTCTTATCATGAGCCCCATTGATGGTGGACACATTATTTTCTCACTGACAACATCCACTTTAACAAATATGGTCAGTGAGGGATGCCCAACAGGAAGTCTTGAACACTTTCACAAGCAGGTCTTCTGGCTGTGGGGAGGTTACAGGGGAGGGTTCCCAGCCCTCTCTATTTCCCTGAAGAGATTTAGAGGGAGATCAACTCACACCCATTCCGAGAAGAAACTTCTGCTGCAACGAATTTCATGCAGTCACCCCAGCTATATCCATTTCTGGAATCATCATCAAAAAAAAAAAAAAGGTAATCCCATTTCCTTCCTGCCCCTAGCCCAAATTGCTCATTATAAGATCAGGAAGTTGGACTTTCCTCCCTGTTTAAAAAGAAAATGTGCCTCTTTCAACCAAATTATTTTAATTCTGTCTTCATGACAGCCATATCTTAGTAGGCAATAACTTTGGAATGACATCAAGTGAGAAGGGATAGAGTATATTTTACATACTTGCTTGAAAAATAGTGATTAGATATGGATATTTCCAGCACATCTCTAACAACCTTATTTATGACGTGGGTTTATAGACAGGATGAGAAAAATGAGAACCAGAAATATAAAACCAAAGATATATCAGGGATTATTCATTAATAAATAGGTCATACTAAGGAATGGTCAGGATGTTTGTGAGGATGGGTTAATCAAGTTTCCCTAAGAATTAGTCACAGACTTTAATATTTTTAAGGGAGATGACTTAAAATGGAAGGGGCATCTTGAATCAGGACACTTCTGAATCATCAAGTAGAATTTAAATTGTATTTTATAGAAAAGGTAAAAGTGAGCAAACACCCCGTTCAGCTGCAACTTTCAAAACTGCTTTATGACAGCTAAAATAATACACATATTGTAACTACCATTCAAAACAAGAGAAGAACAATATTCTTTTTTCTTTCACTAGGGCTCAGTATCTTTGTTCTTATTCAATTTGATAATGTCAGAGTTGAAACGACTTTCTCTGTCCTGGACTCCTTGACTGAGTTGGTTGAAGTGCTCATCTGGAAGACTCTACATTTCAAGAATGTACTCCCTTTGCACTGGAAGCTCCATGAGATTAGCAGTCCTGTCTATCCTGAGCATTCCAGAATCACTTACCCTTATAGTGTCTGATGTGTGGCAGCATTTAATACTTAAGTGAACAAGTGTTGGACCCAGCTGGGCAAGAAGTGTCTCAAGAGTTTTATTCCTTTTTAGATAGCAGTTGCTGCTTCTTTTTAGTTGCATTCTGCATCCGCTGTTCCTTCTGGACTCCATGGTTTACCATCTAGCAGGGCTTTTCTGAGTCGTCTCCAGAAGATGTGCCGCCCTAAGACACTGTCCTCCCACTCTAAGTAAGTGTTCCTGCTGAGAAGACGGTACAGCTCCACCTGCTGCCGGAGCAAAGACTTTTCCACCTTCTGCAGGACAATGAAGATGATACCAGCGTGACTGCTCAGGAACTGCCAGGTCTGAGCAATCTCATACTCAAAAATGCACCAGCGACTCTGGATGAAGTGCTGAGACACCACAACGATCACCTTCCGGCTTTTGTGGAAACCTTCCTGGATGATGTTGGCAGCGATGGCCACACCAGGAATAAAGTCTCTGTAGTGCAGGCAGAGCTTAAATGGGGGCACCCCTTCCTCTAAATTCTTTACTAGCTCATTCCTTACCCAATCTTCATCCTGGCTTGAGTAAATAACAAAAGCATCATAGGTGCTTTCACCTCTACCGTACTTTTTGCAGCCAGCAAGAAGCATCAGGTGGAAATAGAACTTATAGACCAGAACTACTACAAAAGATACCACAAGCACACTGAGCACTGACACACTAATGATGGTTTTGCTCATCTGACAAGTGGCATTCCTAAAACTCAGCACAGACATTTCCTGCATATCTAAAGGTGTTGCACATACCATTTGTTCAACTTGCACCAAGTGCTGTCTTTGGTCCTTGACCCACTGCAGAAAACTTTGGTGTTCACAAGTGCAAGCAAAGGCGTTCTGAGTAAGATTTAAGAAAGTTAGACTACTTGGTAAATGCAGTAGTTCTTGCTTTTTTGAAGTCACTATGCGATTGAAACTGTAATCCAGAACCTGGAGTGACTTAAGATGCTGGTAAGGACATAAATCCAAAGAAACGAGGTGATTGTTGCTCATATTTAGTAACTGAAGTCTGAGGAGTGAATTAAATGCTTCCTGAGATACGTGCTCCAGTTGACACTCAGAGAGGTCCAGGAAGGTCAAGTGACTCAGGTTTGTGAAGATTTCTGGAAGGAGGTTGCCCTGGAATGAATTGCCAGCCATTTTCAAGGTTTGGAGACTGGACAAGCCATTGAAGATGCCACGAAAGGCAACTAGAATATTAGTATAAGAAATGTCAAGGTAAAGTAGGTTTTTGAGGGATAGGAATACTGGAAAATCACTAGTCTGTTTCAAATGGGAATGCTGAAAATCCAGATATTTTAGTTGTTCTAAACCCAGGAAGTTTGAACTCATGGTAATAACTGCATTGAAGCTCAGATCTAAATGCTCCAGTTTGGTTGTCCCAAAGTCAGTGTGAGAACAGCAACCCTTGAAATTCAAGCCATTTCTACTGAGATCGAGAAACTCAAGACTTGGTAGCTTAAATTCTGCAAAAGTGTACCCACTTTTGTGGGCAGTGAAAATAAATCTTTTGAGAGAGGGGATTTCCAATGTAGGAAATTGTTCAAGTTTACATGTAACTAATTCTAAAGATTGCCATCTTACATTATTAGGAAGACCTTCTAGCCGATCCAAATTCAAATGAATGAGGGAAATTGTAGAAACATTTGCCAAACAATTAAATAAGTCAGTAGCATCACTGAAGTCGTGGTATAAGCATGCAAACCGGAATTCTTTAATGGTTAAATTACACAGTCCATTCAGGACAGATATATCAAAGTCTTCCATGTTCCTTTCATTTCTAAATTCTCCCAGAACGAACTGATGGACTTTTAAACCAGCCAGACCTTGAATACAAGTTTTCATTTCATTCATACTATTGAAATTACTTCTCAAAGTCAGTTTATGGAGTCTAATATCTTTAAAGGCACCAGATTGGATAAAGTCTATAGGGTTCAAGGACAAGTCTAAGGAAAGGTTGATTAGGGATATTGGATGTAGAACCTGCAAGTCTTTATGATAAATATTTTGTATCTTGTTATTGGAAAGATCCAAGTGCTCCAGATTGGTCAGGTTAGAAAAATATTCAGGTAACTTGAGAGAATGGATATGATTGTGAGCCACATTAATCTCCTTCAAGGTTTTGAGATGTCCAATGGGGAAGTTCTCTAGAGAGGCTAGGTTAGTCTCCACAGCCACCAGCTTCTGTAAACTTGATAGTCCAGAGAAGGCTCTGAGGGCTAAACTTTGGATAGGGTTTCCTGTTAATATCAAGGTGGAGAGGTGGTTTAGGCTCTGATATGCAGCATCTTCAATAGTCTGAATTTCACACCTATATGGAAAAAGATACAGATCATATAATATTTCTGTTGAATAAAAATCTAAAATGAATAACCATCCTAGTCATCTAGCAATTCATGCAGATGTGATATGTCATATGATTGTGCACAGGCAAAGACCTCAAGCGGGGCAGATGATGATGATAAGAACACGTAAGAAGCCCCACAGGTTCAGTATGATCATACTGGCTGCAATGATAAACCCTTTTTATCACACTAGGCACACGTGCTAAGCAAAGGCAGAAAAATCCATCAGAAGTAAATCAGTTAAAAATCAATAATTGAGATACATAAAGGTTGTGTGGTTGATAGAGTATGTAATAACCTTATATGTAAGCCTTACATAGCAGGAAAGTCTAGCCATTTCCTGCTATACATAATTGTGATTATACATCTGACTGGTACAGATAATATGGGTAGTTAGTTGTTAACCATGATCAATGACTGGCTAATGTCAGATATAAAATGTTACTTATAAGTGTCGTGGATATTCCTAATGTTTAAGAAAAGTTGTACATACATGATAGCTAGATGTTTGAAAGTTGTCATTATCACAGGCAAATGCTAGTAACTGGCAGTTGGAGTGAGTTTTGTGAAAGAAAAGGAAAGTGTGCTGTAAGAGTTTGCAACTAGAGGGCCAACCTAAACTAGGGAGATAAAAACAGGCTTCTCTGAGAACATATTGATTGAAATTTGAAAACTGAGTAGGAGTTCATGAGGAAAAAAAGGTAAAGTGAACAGCAAATACAAAAGCCCTAAGGTAGAAAGCAGCCATGTCATGTGGAAGAACTATTAGAAACAACTTTCATGGCTGGAATACAGTGAGGGATTTGTAGGGGTATAAGATGGGGCTGTGGAGAAAGAAGGTTCAAAATAAGGTTGAGGCTTACAGGCCTGCTAAAGGGTGTTGAATTTGTTTTATTTTATTTTAAAGATGTGGAGAACAATTCAGGATTAGGTAGATAAGTGGTCATCATACATGCATACAATGTTCATAGTGATTTTTATGTAAAGGGCTCATGCAGACAACAAACAGCAAGCCAATGATAAAATCCTATTAGCATTGCAGGTGTATGTCAGCTATGATTCACAAATGAATCCTTTCCTAATCCAGTCTGAATTACATTTACAATGTTCCCCACCTGTTCCTATCCTCTTCAGGAGGTTCCTGGATAATAAAAAGCATTTTGGTTCAATATTTTATTATTTATTGGTAACTAAACAGATGGAAAGGGGTGCCATAAAAAGAACACTAGAAGAGACAGCAAGACAGCTGGGGTTTGGTGCCTCCATAGTCCTCCTCTACAGCATGATCTTAAGGACCCCGTTTCCTCTCTGGGTTTTAGTTATCACATTTCTAAGTAAGACAGCTAAACTCAATTATTTCTCACGTTTCTTCTTTCAGTCATATGATTTTACAGCCCTTAATCTTATCTATTTATTGCTCTATACATCTGGCAAGACTGAAGTACCTTACTATTCTCTATCTCATTACACAGGGAACATCACTTTAAAGAAGTAGAGTATTATGATGAAGAGAATATTTAACTTGGAAGCAGGACACGTGAACTTGAAGTTCAGGTCTGATGCTAATTAGATAAGTGAATGTATAAATTCACAAACTTTTCAAGTCTCAGTTATCTCATCAATAAAAAGAAAAGAATATAGATTTCTATAGGGGAACAAAAAAGCGGCCTGGTCTATCACAAAACATTCTTAGAGGACCAGTTGACTTACTGTTTGTGAACAATGTATGAAGAGGCAAAGGATGTCTTGTGCTATTGTTTGTCCATGCCTTAAAGTAGAATCTCATATGGGTTAACCAGAAGGGAAGCCACCCTCCCTCTAAGCACATATTTAATACTTCTGAGAGATGTTTCTTAGGTATATGGTAGATAAAAAATGAATTATCTTTTTTTTTTTTTGAGTTGGAGTTTCACTCTGTCGCCCAGACTGGAGTGCAGTGGCCGCTCCCGGCCACTGCAGCCTCTACCTGCTGGGCTCCGGCGATCCTTCCGCCTTAGCTTTCCAAGTAGCTGGAATTACAGGCATGTACTACCACGCCCAGCTGATTTTTTGATTTATTGTAGAGATGAGGTCTCGCTGCCTGGTGGGTCTCGAACCCGCAGGCTCAGGCAATCCACTCACCTCAGCCTCCCAAAGGCGCGGGATTACAGGCTGAGCCACCGAACCTGGCATGAATTATCTTAATGTGTCATCTTGCTTGATGAGACACTACATATTGTTTGAAAAACAGGGGGAGATGGTCTACCTCAATACAGTAATTGTCAAAATGTTCACTTAGAAAACTGTTTTATATAACAAAGATCAAACAAAATGCTATAATAGTAATACTTCATACAGATAAAATATACTTTATAAAGTTTTTTGCATAAATGGCATGTTAATATTTATTACAACAATCTACCCTGCAGGATAAGTTTCATCATTTCCTTTTAACTCAGATATGGAAGCTGAGACTCAGGGAGATGGAGTGACATGCTTCACATGGTTATAAATGTTGGAGGAGTACTTGGCTTAGGTCTTCTGAGCCCCACAGGGTTCTATGCTGTACACCACTGCCTTCACATTGTTCCATTTCCCCTTTGTTTCACCCTATCAATATCCAAGTTAGAGCACAACACATCAAATGCTGACTCTTCTACAGAAAGGCCTGCTCTAAAGAGGATTGTCATACTATGACCTTAACCTTTATTAAAAATTTCTATAATTAAAAATATATAAAATGTTTCTGCATTTCACAAACTATTATAGAGAATATGGTTCATTATCTAGTTCAATTTTTAAAGTAATGCCCCTGATGATGAAATCCCTTTTAAGATTCAGTTCCCACCAAAAGTAATGACTACTTCACCTGCCACAGTGAATGATATACTTCTCTGACTCAGAAAAGAAAATCTTAGCCACTATTCCCTGCCCACAGAGGAGATTTTCTTTTGATCTTGACATACTTCTCCTTGGGTTACTTGTCTTTTCCTAATTCCTTATCCTTTACCCTACTTTCAATATTGGTCACCCACCACAGAGAAGGCCCTCTTCTAAACAACACAATGTGTTACCTCTAGTGTACTCATAGTTTATCACCTACTGTTACATTTCACCATTCTTGTCTCAGCTTCAAATGCCAAGAAACCAAAATTAGGTAACATTTGTTGAATGTACATAATGTATTCAAAATCATACTCTGGACTTTAGCATATTAATTCTTTCAAGAGTATTTGTCTATTTAATAACAGAAGCTGTATATATTATATATTAATATGCTTTTATTTCCTAGCATTGTGTACAACATATAACAAGTGGTCAATAAATGTCTGTGTACATTTATTTTATATCCTGAGACTTTGCCAAAGTCCTTTATCAGTGTAAGGAGGTTTTTGACAGATTCTCTTGGGTTTTCAAGGTCACGATCATGTCATCTGCAAAGAGAGATAACTTGACTTCCTCTTTTCCTATTTGGATACCCCTGATTGCCTTCTCTTCAAACAGGAACCCAAATAAAAAGCACAATTCCATTCACAATAGCCACACAAAAAACAAGAAATACCTTGGCATCTTCCTGACCAGAGACATGAAAGACCTTTACAATGAAAACTACAAAGCACTGCTCAAAGAAATCAAAGATGACACAAACAAGTGGAAAAATATCCCATGCTCATGGATTGGAAGAATCAACATTGTAAAGATGTCCATCCTACCTAAGGCAATCTACAGATTTAATGTGATACCCATCAAATTACCAGCAACATTCTTCTCAGACCTAGAAAAAAAATACAGGAATTCATATGGAAACACAAACGACCAAGAATAGCCAGAATAATCCTCAGCAAAAAAAAAAAAAAACAAAGCAGGCAGCATCACACTACCAGACTTCAAACTTTACTATAAAGCTACAATAATCAAAACATCTTGGTATTGGTACAAAAACAGTCATATAGACCAATGAAATAGAACTGAGATTCCAGAAGCTAAACCTCAATTTCTAAACCAACTCATCTTCAACAAAGCCTCCACCACCTACCACTGGGGAGTGGAGAACCTATTCAGTAAATGGTGCTGGGAAAACTGGCTGGCCACATGCAGAAGACTCAAACAGGATCCCTATCTGTCCCCATACACAAAAATTAACTCTAAATGGATCAGAGACCTAAATGTAAAACCTCAAACCATAAGAACCTTAGAAAATGCAGGACATACCCTTATGGAAATTGGAACTGGCATCCAATTCCTGAACAAAATCCAAAACTCACAAGCCGTAAGAGATAAGATAGACAGATGAGACCTCATTAAACTGGCAAGCTTCTGCAAAGCCAAAGAAACCATCAAGAGAGCAGGGAGACAGTCCACAGACTGGGAAAAAGTATTTGCCAACTCCAGGTCTGACATAGGCTTAACATCTTGGATCTACAAGGAACTCAAATGTGCTGAAAAGAAAAAGAAAAAAACAAGCAACCCCATTATAAAGTGGGCAAAAGATATGAACAGACACTTCTCAAAGGAAGACATCCAAGCAGCCAACAGACACATGAAGAAATGTTCAACCTCACTAATCATCAGGGAGATGCAAATCAAAACCACACTGAGATACCACCTAACTCCAGTCAGAACGTCAATTATCAATAACTCAAAAAATAACAGTTGCTGGAGAGGGTGTGGGGAAAAGGGAACACTTCTACACTGTTGGTGGGAGTGCAAACTTGTGCAACCTCTGTGGAAAGCAGTGTGGCGATTCCTAAAAGCTCTAAATATCAACCTCCCATATGACCCTGCAATCTCCCTACTGGAAATATACCCTGAAGAACTCAAATCACTCTATCAAAAAGATACCTGCACACGAATGTTTATTGCAGCATTGTTCACAATAGCAAGAACCTGGAACCAACCATGCTGTCCATCAAAAGAGGACTGAATTTTAAAAAATGTGGTACATATACATGATGGAATACTATGCAGCCATAAAAAGAACAAAATCATGAATTTCGCAGCAACCTGGATGGAACTAGGGTCTATAATACTGAGTGATTTCTCACAGAAAGAAAGATCTGAGTATCACATGTTCTCACGCATATAGTGGACCTTGGACATCTACCATAATACTATTAAAAAAGGACTGACAGCGATGGGAAACTATGGAGGGGGCAGGGAGGGGAAGGGAGGTGGGACTAACGGTAGTCAATATCTGTCTGGGGATGGGGAGACACTCCTTATTAACAAGGGTGCTTGAATGATACACATTTGTATACCTGACCCTTAACTGTACCCCACAATTTTATAATAAAAAATATGTTTAAAAACATAAAATGAAATAAAAACAGCAGTAAAAAAAGAAAGATGCCCTCCATATACCAGGAGAAAGGAAACATTCACTGACAAGGAGTCATAGCCAAGAGAATTCTATATAAATCGACCTTGTTAAAATAATTCTTCTCTTCTTTCACCTCCCTACATAGTTTATTTAATTTTCCCCAATTGCTACTCTTTGTTCAACTTACTATAAAATCATTTCAGTTTTGCCACTTCTTTGGGCTTTTGTTTCCTGTGTCACGTAGAACTTATATAAACATGTATGCTTTTCTCCTGTTTTAAAATAAATAAATAAATAAATATTCTCTTCAGACTTAAAAGAAAATTCAAAGGTAGGGTTGCTCTTAGAAACTGTTTTGTCCAACTGCCCATTTCACAGATAAGAAAACTGAGGCCAGAAGAATAGAGATGGTGTGTTCAAGGTTATACAGAAAGCAAAATATCTATTGCATTAATGAATAAGTGAATGAAGATGAGACTCCACCAACCGTGCTTTCTGGTCCAAGAATGAAATTATAAAACAATTAACATCTTGCCTTGTGCAATAAAAGTTCATTCATTACCTGGATAGATCCAGCACCTGCAGTTCTGGGAAACTGGAGAAGCTATGGCTGCCTAAGTGCCTCAGGGGGTTAAAACTCAGGTCCAGGTTCTTGGTTGAGGAGGGGATGTTGTCGGGGATTTTGTAGAGATTCAGCTCCATGCATTGGTAAGTAATGTCAGGAACCACCTGCAATGATCACACATTAGATGTGGTATCTTTACTGCATTCACTCTCAACATCCATCTCCTAGATTAGAGATTGAAGGCCCTCTGGTGTAAGCATAAAAGCCAGTAAACCGTCTTTTGTCCATTTATCCACTTATCCATCCACCCACTCACTTCATACTTAAGAAATATCTTACTCTAGATTAGGAAGGAAAGAGCACCTCCTGTGTGCTCAGTGTTCTAACCTCTGCATACTATAAAAATGGCAATAGTTTGCAAGCAGCAATGGAAACAGGAGGCAAAAGGTTGAGTCTTCAGAGTTTGAAAGTTCCGGTTTTCATCCAACTATTCTGTGTGATTTGGGGCAAAGCACAAAAAAAACTCCCCAAAACTCAGCAAACCTCATTTTATCATATACAAAATATAGGTAATAAAATATTCAATATCATTATAAATACTCCCAATGGTGTACTGCCTTGAAGGTACTGCCTGCCAGTCAAGATGTCCAGACCTCTTATATCCATAGCCCAGATTTTGACAACTGAATTCTCTCTCTTGATTCATTGACCCTTGAGCGGAGTGATTTAGAAATCTTTAGAGTGTGTGAATTCCCATGGTGGAATCAGGTAATTAAGGTCAAGTTTTTTACTGTCTTGGTTCTGAACTGGTTTCTAACCTACTTTCCCACATTCCTTACAAGTCTAATTCTCTTACCTCCCATCTAATTTCTGAATTCCCTTATTTCTCTAACAAAATTTCTTGCTTAAGACAACTAATTTAGGTTTTCTCTTGTTTAAAATCAATAGTATCAGTTTAAAGGATTTAATGAGATAAGGTGTTTAAAGAGCTCATTTAAAAGCCTTCTGTAGTGCAAATGATCAATAAATGTTAACATTAATTATTATTAGCTGTTATTAATCCATAACCATATGCCAGCATGTTTCTTATACGTATATGCTTTAACTTAATCTTTAAATAAGACTTTTCAAGATGAGGAAAATAGAAATTCAACATAATATGAGTAAAGTCACAGAGTTCACACATGAAGGTCTTCACTTCATTTGCATGTCTGCTTAAATGTTACCTGTCACAGAAGCCTCAAAGACAGTACTACCTAATAGAAGATTGTGCCAGACATCCTTCCCTTGCCCTTTTTTATCTTTCTTCATAGGATGTGTCACCATCCAACATTATGTTATCTACGTGATTATTCTCTTTGTATTATTGGTCTCCTATACTCAATTGTAAATTGTGATGTTTTAGGTTGCTCCTTTGTCTCCAGCACTCAGGATGGTATCTGGCAAATGGTTGACGCGCAATACATATTTGTTGAATAAATGAATGAATAACTGACTGAATAAGTGATTAAATGGAGAATTGCTTAAATTCAAATTGTCAGCATTTTCTGCCAAGCACTGTGGACAATACAAAGACAAATATGATATGGCTCCAGATGTCAATGGACTCACAGTCTAGTGTAAGAGTTAAGATAGAAGCAAAACAAACACTGTCTCAAAGGGCAGTCTTGGCAAATCTGTCCTCTGGTTTGAATCCAGGGAAGGCTCCTATACAAGGAAGGTTTCAAGGTGGGTCTTGAAAGATGAGTAAGATTTGTATACATGCTTGGGGAGGACATTTCGTAAAAAGAGAACAGCATAAGCAAGGAAGGAATGGAAAACTAATTCAGATTAGCTGGCAAGTGGTGGAGTGGTGAAATCTGAGTCAGAGAATAAGCCATAACCAGATCAGGAGGGCCTCAGATTTTGTCCTGCAGCAATTATTTCGATCATTTTTAGCATATAAATTGAGCAGCTAGGCACTGGAAGTATAATGATTAAATAAAGCTGGTAACGATCCTACCTCTTACAAATTCCATGCCAAAGAAAAAGAGGTAATGAACAAATAAACATGAATATATAATGATGTGCTCTTAAAAAGTTAAAAAATTTAAGGGGATTTGAGGCAAATGGAGGTAGAGGCTGGCATCTCTACATGGCACAACCAAGAAAGACTGCTCTGCAGAGGAGACATTCAAGCAGATATTTGAATAGAGTGATTCAACCATAAAATGACTAGGGCTATGCAGTCCAGTACGGTAGCCACTAGCCATACACAGTTATCAAGCATTAGAAATGTGAACAGTATAAATTAAGATGTGAGGTAAAGTAAAATGCATACTAAATTTCAAAGACTCAGTACCAAAAAAAAAACTATATTATAGAATCATTAAATACACACATACATATATATTTGAAACAATATTTGAGTGTACTAGGTTAAATTAAAATATTACCAAAATTAAATTTACTTTTTTTAACTTTTATAATGTGGCTATTAGAAATTTAAACCTATGTATGTGGCTAACAAAATATTGCCATTTGACAGAACTGATCTAGGGGAAAGCATTTCAGGTAGAGGAGAGAACCAGTGCAAAGGCCCTGTGGTAGGAAATGGTTACAATTGGAATGGACAGTTATTAAAGTTTTCAAAGGAAAGGAATTTGTTAGATCCAAGCCTCAGGGAACAACAACAGCAAAAACAAATACACAGCAAACAACAATGTTCAGATTGAATTAAAAGGACTATGGAGTCAGAAAGCCAGTCATTATCTAAAAATCAAGGCCTGGGAAACAGTCTGCTTTACAATGGCACTGAGAGGATGGATAGGGATCAATGGACTTTGGGGAATGGTAGAATGTAATGCATGGGGGAAAAAGGAGTCAAGAGTGGCTGTGATTTTATCTCAGGGTGGCCCCAAATGAAAGATCTACCCACATTAACCTAATAGCAGGAAGGGTACAGAGAACAAGGAGTAGATCTACGGGTGGGGAGTTGGGGGAAGGGAGGATTTTGAGATAATGAACATCTTTCCCAAACATCACACTACTTTATCCCATGTTATGAACTTTGGGGCTCCAGCTGGCTATGCTTCCCTTGAGTTTCTGACCCTGCCTCACTATAAAACATTTCTTGGCTGTTCAGTTCTACCATGGGTTTCTAAAGCAACTATGAAGCCCACGCATGAGAAAAACAAAAGGGATTTATCATAAATAAGATTACCAACTGGCTGATTGGTTATTTCATGAAGAAAGAAGCCATCACATTAGCTGGAATTTTACCCTCCCCCGCCCCACGTCTTACTTTTCTTATCTCTTTTTCTACCTTTCTGTCTCTCTCTCTCTCTCTCTCTCTCTCTCTCTCTCCCCTCCTCTTCTCCCCATTCCTTTTTATTTTTTTCATCTTTTGAACTAAACTATATGACTACATGTGGAAATCTGAAATCCACTTAGGAAGTTGTTTCTCTTGAGAGACAAAACAGTTACCTTTTTCCCTAGATTGAATAGTAGGGTGATTGCTTGAAGCTGAGTGTACAAACCACCAATGAAAAGAAACAACACCTAAAGCAGTCTTTTACAACTCTCTTGTGAAGTAGGTATTATTATAATTCTTTTATAGATGTGGAAACTAATGTCTGAGAGGTATAATAGCTTCTTCAGGTCACACAGCCTTGAAGGGCTCAGAGCAGGGATTTTAAGCAGATCTATCTAACCTAAAGTCCATGTTAGCACTCAAAAGTCATAAATGGAACAAACCCACATTAGCTCCCGGTAACAATGAATTATTTGGTCTCTGTGGCTTCTTGAGTCTTTTGCAAAATAAATTAACCAGGGCACACAGGGCGAAAGCATGGGGAAGTTCACAGGAGATGACTGATTCCAACCACATACCTCTACACAGGGCTCCCAGGTTTCGGGTTTCAGACAGGAGAGGAAGGCCATGGCTGGGACGAGAGTCCCAGCCAGGCGTGTGGGAGACATCATCCTGGCATCTTCTGTGAACAGCAGTGGTCCTTTGAAAACATGGTGCACTGTAGCCACCTGACCAAGCAGAGTCTTTGAGGCACTGGTGTCTTCTCTCCTGGCCGGTGCCCCACACCAATTACTGTATTCAAAGCAGTTCTGGGTTAAGGGGCAAGAGGAAGTGAGAGTGGCAACCTTAGCATTCTGGGCTTTTGTTTCGCTAATATTTATCTTCCCTGTCACAGGAGAGGAAGTTAGAAGAAGAAAAAGGCGTCAGCAGACTAGTGACTGGAGTTACAGCAAGAGGAAGCTGGCTTGTATCCCAGAAAGTCATCTGACCTCTAGGCGTGGTGAATTTAAGGAAATATCAGCCTCTGTTCAAATAGTCCGTGTGTAACTATCTAGGATGACAGTGGTTTTCCAATTTTGTTTTAGTTGGGTAAATTTACTGTTTGTATTAGTTTGCTAGGGCTGCCCTAAAAAAGTACCACAGACTTGGTGGCTTACATAGCAGAAATCTATTTTCTCACAATTCTAAAGGCTTTACATCTGAGATCAAGGTGTGTGTCTGTGTCCTAATCTCTGTTTTTAAGGTCACCACTTATATTGGATTAGGGCCCACCCTAATGACCTCACTCTACCTTGAAGAACCCATCCCTTTGCTAGAAGCCCAAACTCCGCCTGCATGCAGCTTATGAAGTAAATCCTCATTTTACCCCACAACTCTAAAACAAAAACAAAAAGAAAAAAAAGAAGAATAAAGTCCCTATCTCCAAATGCAATCATCATGTGAGGTAGTGGGGGGCTTAGAACTTCAATATATGAGTGTTGGGGAGCACGATTAAACCTCTAGCACTTCTTGTGAAGAAACTCACATGTAAAACTGATGGAATATAAACCCCAGTGAAACACACTTTGAAAAGTACAGGAAGATTTTTTAAAGTTTGGGATTAAAAATCAAACATATTGAAGTTCAATCCAAGCTGGGTGACTGATTCAGGGCACTGTGGCATTAATCAAGTCTCTTACTGAACCTTAATTTTTGTCTATGAAATGGGATAATACTTTTTAATCATAACAGAAGTTCATATTTATGAAATTCATAAAAATAAAACTGTGTGATGGCAGCCAAAATACACAAACCTACGAAACCTTAGTTTTCTGATCTTTAAAAAAGAGATAATGATATTTGTCTTGAATGACTGAATTAAGCTAACTTACATAAAATGTCTAATGTATCATCTAATGTTCCACAAAGTGATAGCGACAATGATGATTTAAAATGTGGATAAAATGAGGAGAACAATATGTACCTCAAAGTTTGTCATGCGATTAGATGAACTGGCATTCACAAAGTTTTTGGACAGTCTGGAAAAGTAGCAAATACAATGTATATTTCTGTTAAATGAGAATATAATTTAAAATGGGGTTATTACTGTGGTCTAGATAGCTCTACTGAGATGTCCTCCAGATACCTCCAGTCCCACATGTTGAGAACCAAGCTGTGGGGGAGCACATCACAGTGAACTGAGCACAGCCTTTTGCAGACTCCTTAACACGCCTGTAGAATTAAGCTCAAAATAGCACTTCCTGTCAAAACTTTGTTCTGAGAATTAATTGAGACTATCTATGTAAAGATCTTAGAGCAGCATCTGGCACAGAGTAGATGCTCAATAAAGTTTAGTTCCCTGAAAAGTCTGTAGCGTTTCACTTCCACATACTCATCCAAGGTGGAAATTTCTTTGACTCTACTTTTCTTACTTCCTCATTTCTCACACTAAACATGCAATCACTCAATTTTCTCATCTTCTATATTCTTGATGTTCTGGCATCTGGGTCCTCTCTGATGATCACTCCCAGGACTAGAGAACTCTTAGAGATACAACAAATGACTTGCCCAGGAGCACAACTTTCATATGCAAACTAGGCAGTTCAAGTTCCCCCCCACCACTCGCAACAATTTGTCTGGCTATCATACTCCAAGAGACAACATTATTCTCCCCTAAACATCACAGGCCAGGTACCAAACTGCTAGAGACAGCCCCTGCATCCCAGAGCCCACAGAGATTATTCAAACTAGCCAGTACTAAGCCTGCTAAAACTGCCTTGCCATGACTTTTCTGCAGAAACAACACAAGCTCATTCCCATGATTTCCCCTTGTTCCTTCTGCCTCCACACTGACCCTGGTTATTCCATATGTGGGTTTGAATGACGTGGGTTTCTCTTTCCTCTTGGGAACTGTGAGCAACAAACTGTCTTTTCAAATGGCATCATCTCCTGATCTATTGCCCTCAAAATAATAATAAAACCTAAGTTAAAAAAAAAAAAAGATCTACCAAGCTCTAGAAATTGTATCTATATAATCATTTTGAAATGTCAGTCCCCATTTCTTTTTACTATTGAATGCATCTCATGACCTGGACTAGTGCAAAACAGTGTTAATGAGTCTCCCAGAGTCCAGACTCACTTCTTCCAATGCTTCAACTCTTTCAACTGATTCTTCATAATGCAGTCAAAGTCATCTTCCTAAAATACAAACAGGATTGCCTCATGCCATGCTAATAATATCCTGAGACCGGGTATTAACTAGACCAAAGCCTCCTGGCCTGTCTCCACCATACACACACATACAGATTCCACTTCCTAAGAAGGAGAAACAAGCATGTGTGCTATTTCAGTCCAGACATAACTAGACCCCACTTCTAAGACACAATGCTGAAGTGAATAGAGTAATACATGTGTGTGACAGACAAATACTCTTTCTTCCCATCATTGGAGAGGGAACCCCTTGATAGTCAAAATGAAGCCTAAGAAAAAAGAATCAAGAAAATTCTCTAAACTATGTTTTATGAGATGTTAATACATGTGTCTTATAGAAGTCTTCCTGGAAATTTTTCCTGTCTGTGACTGGAGAATTCCTCCTAGTGTCTTGTAAAAATTTCTCTTTTTTCCTTCCGTGGGAATAAATGGAATTAACTCACCATCATGCACTGACCTTAATCAAAGTTATTTCAGTTCTATGTACCTCTTCCAGAGGACAGGCCATGTGTCAAATACAAGTTAGAAACTTTAAGTCCCTTGGTTATCAAATCTTATTTGCTTACATTGATGGACTTACCAATGCAGTACTACAATGAGGTTCCACAGTTGTAACTGGTTACCATCATGAGCCTAGAGGGTCCACTGTAGTAGAATAACAATCACACCTCAAGCACAGCAGTTTAGAGACTTGGCCAGAGGCATGGAAAGCCACTTAGTTTTCCATGCTCTTCAAGCAGAGAAAGTTTAGCTCAGGATCCATAATCATTCAGTCAATGGAGGAATCCCATTTTCTTGTTCTATCTCTCCACTTCCCCAAATTGGCCAGTGAATCCCTGCTTGTGCATTCAGATCACAGAAATCATAGTGTAATGTAGAAAGGGCTATATTTTAACATATTTAATTATCCTTTTTACTTTCTGGCACATAAATTTTCTCTGTGTGTTTTATTTTTAATGTCACTGAGTTTCCTTAACTGTGGCCTAAATCATAATATTGCTTGAGAATCAAATGGGGTCACATACGTGAACTTGTCAATGTTACAGATTTACACAAATGTAGTAGAATTCATTCATTCATTCGCCAAATATGTACTGAGTGTTTAACATCTGCCAGGTACTGTTTTAGGTATGAAGGATACAGCAGAGAACAAAATAGATAATCTCACTCACACAGAGTTCATGTTCTGAGGAGAGACAATAACAACTATATATAAGTACATTACATGATAGGTCATTAGATGTTAGGGTATATGGGTAAAAAACTTAAAGAGTGAGGAGGAGGAAAAGTGGTGGGTGGTACTGAAGATTTAAATAGAGTCATCTGTATGGTCCTTGTTGAGAAAGTGATGTTTTGAAAAAATTCCTGGTGGAGCCCCTACCCATGGGTATACCACCAATTAGAACAGTGGTTTCTTACCTGGAGGGGATCTTAACCCCTAGAGGACATTTGACAATATCTGGAGACATTTGTGTTTGTTACAACTTGAGGGGAGGAATGTTGCGACTGGTATCCAATAAGCAGAGGCCAGCAATGCTGACTGCTAAGCATCCCACACTACAAACACCTAGGAAAAACCCACAACCCAAAATATCAATAGTGCCAAAGTTGAAAATCCCTGAGTTAGAAAAATAATCCAGTGCAAAAGTTCAGAGACAGGAAAGTTTTAGAACCGAAAAAGAAACCAAAGTAGAGAGGCACAGTGGCCAGAGGGATCACTTCAGGCATTGTAATCTTTGTTAAAACTTTGCATCTTATTAATGCATGCCCAACTTTCCCAAGTTGGCATTGTCTCTTTCTCCTCATTGCTCCCACAACAGTCATCTGTTGTGCTCAAAAGGGATTAATTATCCTCCTCTTCTACTAGGTTTTCAGCTTATCAATGACAGCAGCCAAATCTGGTATACCTTTGTACCCACCGTGTCTATCACAGTGTCCAACACCTAGCAGAAGTTCAATGCGTGTTAGTTGTATCAATCATTTTGATAATAACTTTGGAAAAGGATAGAAATTGACTTGGATTTCACCTCATATACAGTCAAATAAGATCCAAGAGAGGACAGATTATACTGTTGTGTTTATAGTTGTGACCCTAATGCCATTCATCATCATATATAATGTGTTCAATAAACACTGAATGAAAGAATGAGTATTAATAGACGTGATGGTTGGTCAAATTTATTCTCTTTTTAGCAATTTCCACTGGGAAAAAAAAGGATAAATATAAAAGGAATGTCCACTCTCTTCTTCTAGAAGGCAACCTATGACAAAGCACTTGGAACTGGTATCTGAAGCAATCCTATACTAGACTTGGAAGTCATAGTATAATGTATCACTGCAGACAATCCATGCTTGTGTAATCCCAGGGTTTACGACACATACTTTTGGAATAAGTGGGGTAAGGACATGAGTAAATTATATTATTTTCAAGTAGGTGTTTGATTTCACAGTGGCTCTCCTCTTCTCCTGTCTTCCACACTGGAGAATCTTGGAATCTGAAGGTGATCAGATGGGAAATGATGGACAAATATAGAGGCTGGATGAATATACTAGAGCACAAAAACATATTCTTGGGTTCAGGAGATATAATTTAACTCATACATAGTCCAAAGGATGGTACAGGATTCAGAGCAACATTCCTAACCACATTAACTTATGCCATTGAACCTCCATGGGTCTCCAGCTTTATCCCTAGCCTCTGTGAAAGCCCCACTTATG